TTGTGCTCCAGGGTCACATATATGAACTACTGTGAAAACTGCTCTAACACAGTATTTTCATGTATATCTTTGTCCCGTCCATTGCTCTTTCGAGCGCGAATCCCGCATAAATATGCGGATGTCATTCCCAAAACTTTGCAGCGTGTAACGTTACGTGACCGAAAAATAAAAGTTCTACACAAATTCTGAGTGGATTATATTCTATAGCCTAGAAAGCACACAACAAGCACTGCCTTTATAATCACTAAAAAGCTGTCCCTCGTCTTAGTTCATCACGATCTCATTATGTTTTGTTATGAGAGGATTCGCGAGCTTGCCTTGTACTGGACTCAGAATTTACCTTTTGATTCTCTCCAGAGCGCAAACACAAGTATGCATTGGATATATTGCCAGATCAGTTTCGCCAATATGATATATTATAGACAATATGTCCAGTTTTTCTAGGCCTATCTGTTCACAGCATCCAAAAGTCTAATTAGAACCAGCTGAAATGTTTCGAAATCACTTGTACCTTGTAAAAAAATCCAGTCTTTCACTCTGTGTCAATTTGAGTCTTTCTCTGTCGGTCACAGATTACAGAAAGTGAAACTTAAATCCGTCATGGGGTGGTTGGATTTATTCACGTACACTACCGCTCAAAAGTTTGGGATCGGAACGATTTTTAATGGTTTTACAGGAGGTTCTTCTGCTCATCAAAGCTGCATTTATTTGATCAAAAATACAGGAAAAAGTTTAATATTGTGAAATATTATTATGATGTAAAATAATGTTTTTCTATTTTAATATACATTAAACTGTAATGTATTTCTGTGATGCGCAGCTGTATTTTCAGCATCATTCCTCCAGTCTTCAGTGTCACATGATCTTCAGAAATCAGTATAATATGCTGATTTATTATCAGAGCTGAAACTGTTATTTTTTTGGAAGCGGTGATACTTTTCTTTCAGGATTCTTTGATGAATACAAAGTTAAAAAGAAGAGCGTTTATTTAAAATAGAAATCTTTTCTAACAATACACACTACCGTTCAAAAGTTTGGGGTCAGTACATTTCTATTCTTTCTTGTTTTGAAAGAAATTAAAACTTTTATTCAGCGAGGACGTGTTAAATTGTTAAGAAGCGATAGCAAAGGTTTATATTGTTAGAAAAGATTGATATTTTGAATAAATGCTGTTCTATTCATCAAAGAATCCTGAAAAAAGTAT